ACATAGTTGATGCAGTGCATGTAGTGTGCATGGTTTACACAGCGGTGTGCATTGTTGATGCAGTGCATGTAGTGTGCATGGTTTACACAGCGGTGTGCGTTGTTTACACAGAGGTGCGTTGCTTACGCAGTGGTGCATTGCTGACGCAGCGTGACTTTGTTGATGCGCTGTGTGTGGTTGATGCACAGTGAATGGCTGATGCGCATGGTGCATAGTTGATGCATTGGCGTATTGCTACTGCGGCCCTACGCTAAATTAGTGCTCAATCTAATTACGTAAATACACAGGCAACCAAACCAATCTCCCAATCACTTCACTGTACATTTCATTTGTTGATTTTTGTTGATTATTGTTGAATAAATTGAACGTCCTGTACCGAAAGTTCTGTGAAGGATTACTTTCTTTACAGGTTGATTGTGTAATTCAACAGAGACTAATTAACACTCGGTCACAATCGGCGGTATATTTCCTCCAAAACGGTCCCACACCCTTTGCCTTGAAGTCGCTCTGTGTGGTCTCTCGTCTGGGGAAAAGCCTTAGGTTGAGAAGATCGACTCTGCCACTAATAGTGCTTGGTTTGATCCCATCAACTCAGGGTAGGCCCGGGGATGCCCGCCACAGGAGCTTCACTCCTATTAATGCGCAAAGTTTCGTTGATCATTTTACCTCACCCAACTTTTATAATTCATTATAATTCATTATATCGTACCAGTTATTTCTTGATATGGTGACTGTGCATCTGTGTCAGTATATCTGGGTGACTTTGAACTTGTTGATTCCAGACAAAGACTCCTTGGGAAGATTAATAAAAACGACGATTGTGATTTCTATCAAAATTATTTTCATAGTGATCCCTGTTTACTAGTTCCCAGGTTGTATCGTGTTATTGGGGTGTGATCCTTGGCTACATGGTGTTTCAGGTTTAATGGCTTCTTGCTAGTGCCCCCCCCCCAACAGAGATATTGACAAATGGGAAGAACCACCGACGTAAGGCTGGATAGCTCAGTTGGTAGAGCACTGGTACGGTGTTCCAGAGGAAACAGGCTCAAAGCCCGTTCCAGTCAATCCTTTGTTCATCTATAATAATTATTTATAAGCACCTAGTCAGTTTTCTACATAGTTTCTTTCAATTATTTTCAATAAGGAGAATAACAATACATGTACAATAGACCCGATAAAATACAGAGTCAACTTACTTGGCCTTGCACTTAGTTTCATTTTCCCCTGAAATCAAATAAACAAATAGGGTAGTGTGACTCAGGAGTGAGTGCAATTCTCGATAAAGAAATTTAAACTTAATTTCAACCTTATTAGGTTTCAGACATTACAATGAGATCGTACAAAAAGTTTTTGAAATCAGAATCCTTTTGTCAAGAGCGGTGTTCAGAGCTTAATGATGGTTCCCAATCTCACCCTCGCTATGGCTTCTGAACTTGAACTTCCTCTTTGCGTAGGCTCCAAGTACTATGACTAAAGTTAACACGACCACTGCGACTATGACACCGACAATGATTCCGGTGTTATCAGCAGGCTGTTGGGGTACCAGGATGGGGTTTTTCACTATCAGATATGTGAGACAAATTATGTTTCCAATGTTAGGTTAACAAAAGCCTGTATGATGTTAACAAATGTCCCATAGCATTGGTCTAATATCATGATGTATCAGCTAGAAAGTGATTTTGTTTGGAACATAAAAATGAATTTATTGCAACCTAAAGTGCTTACCTGAACAGTCAAAACGGGTGAAATTCTCTCTGACATTTGGGTGCAAAGTTTACTTCAATCATTTGTAAGGTGTTTTCCTTAACAATCGACGAAAGAGGAAAGAGTGGCATCATCTCTTACATTTTTTGCGTGAACTTGATTTTTCAGCAGAGGCCCTCTCATTAGCTGGTCCCCAAACTTTTAGAAGCAGTCAATGTCCTTGTTTTAGAACCATATTTTGTTGTTACCCAGCTTGACATCATACTTACCGTTTTTTGCAGGTGCTGCTTCACTACACAAACCATCAATGCAGAGTTTAGCGCGGACATCTTCAATGTCATCTATAGCTCGTCGTCTTCTCTTTTGTGATGCTGCACACCATTCAGAGAGTCTCACTGTCTGATCAGCATCGATACACTTTCCACATTCGTGCCAGGTGTCATTGCCTTCATACTTGACTTCCAGTTGGATGCAACTATTCTCTACTCTCAGCTCCTTGACTTTCACGGTCCCATCATCTGTGTTGTACTTCACAGTGATTCCTGGTATTTAATTAATATCAACAATGCACCCCCAATTCAACTCTTTAAACCTTTCAAATTCAATTTATAGAATACTGTAACAGACATTTGTATAGCCTTTTCCATGTTTTATTGCCATGTTAATCTTTCGTACGCCGCCTACGGCGCTGAGGTCCGCCGGCGGAGGGCCTCCGGCGGAGTTCCCCGACCTGTTTCTCTTGTGCTGGATGCGCACCGGAAATTGGTTTCTATTTTGGGACGTTGTGGTTTGGCCAGCGCGGGAGGGAAATTGGAAAAAAACCTGGGCGGCCTTAGAAAGTGTTATACAATTGTTATGCAATGTTCTACATTGTGATACATGCTGTGTTTTGTAGAGCTCGAGTGTCACGTAGGCAGTAGTTGTTGTTCTGACGGCCGTGTGGAAGGTCATGCACCGAGTTTGGTGAATAAAACAAAATTCTTTTTGGAAGTCCTGTATCTGTCCCCCCTCTTTTGCGTCACCGGGCTTTAGGGATAATAGCACCCAGGTCTACGCTACAATACTAATCAAGATCTGTGCTCCAGGAAAAGATTTAAAGTGTAGCTACAATAATTTTTTATTTTGAACAAATTTTCTGCATCTTTGTACTCTTCTTCAATATACATGTAAGAAACACTTACACACTCCTATTTGGTTAAATGCACTGAAAAATGCATGTTTTTAAACAATTAAAATTATCCATGCAACTGAGGTGGCTGTTACTGTGAAGTCATCTAGGGAAGACATAGTTCAGAGCACAGGTATTTCTGTTCGAATTGTGAACCCAGAATTTACCCAATGAACACATTTCTGAGAGAGGGATTGACATTAAAATACCCTTTGAAATTGTGAAAAGGAAGTTGATGTAACCGTGAAAAATGACTCACCTAACAAAACTTAAGACACTAGGGGAAACTCGCAACAAACAACCAAAACCAAAGATCTTTTAGGGAAAAGGGG